GTCTCGTGACAAAGCCCTTCAAAGCCATGCGAAGCCAAACGGAGCTGAAAGTATGAAGATTACACAATGCTTGTACAAAACCGAAATACCATGCTTGGTGAAGCGCCATCTGTTGCAGCTTTCATAGACACTAGCACTAGAGTTCCTTCAAGTGCACTTATAGGAAACCCCGTGGTTCTGGTGAAAGCCTAAGACGTACACTTCTCCGCCACCGCAACATAAGCGCACAAGAACGCGCATGGAGGGACCACGCACCGTAGCGAGAAGTACACGAGCGGGCCGCCGAGCACACCCTTTGCGCCTTCTAGCTGGGAAACCAGAGAACACACTGATATCCCGAGACGCCCCGGAGATCACCGTTAGTACAATGGAGGACCTGTGCTCACCGTTACTACAAAGAAGGATGCGTGGTTTCGTGTCTAGGTGGTTAACGGCCGTGCGCTGTGGAGCGAGAGGTCATCCGTTCGATTTCGGGCATCAAAGAATGGTTTTCTTCGTGGCTTTTATACAGATATATACATATAAAGGCATGACGGCAACGCCAACAGCGAAATATTGCCGAGAGTGTCCCTACAGTTGCTATCACAATAGCAATAATATTATTATTAATAATAAGGAGAAGAAGAATAACATGAATGATAGGAATATTGAGGTTTTATGGATAACGATTTATATCCATCCATCAACCTATCTATCTATCTATCTAGCCGCCTACGACTTTAGCTCTCCTGGCCGTTTCAATAATGGTATCGATACCAAACTTGGTATGGCATAACATGACTGTTCGAAGAAAATTTTTGACCAGTGATAACAAGGAAATCATATGTATGTCATGATTGCCATAATTTACATTTCATGGTCCTGCAGTTCTTGCGGTGGTTTCGTTCCCATAGCATGTTGCAAAACTGGTATGGTGTGCATGATTGCATGGCGAACACAAGCGACAGTCCCTACATGAAAATCACGACATACGTGTCATTTACCAACATGACTACATGCCATGCTCATAATGCGGTCGCGGCCGTTTGCTAGCGTCACATAAACCAGATTTGGTATTACAGTACGTAAATGGATGACGAAGGTACATGACTGGTGCAAACATGATAATCATGAGATGCGTGCCATGTAACAACATGACTGCATGCCACGCTCATGATGCACTGGTGGCCATTTCGCTAGCTTCACATGTACGAAACTCGGCATTACATGCCGCGAACGGATGACATAGGTAAATTACACAGCCCCGCCGCAGTGGTCTAGTGGCTAATGTACTCGGCCACTGACCCGCAGGTCGCGGGATCGAATCCTGGCTGCGGCGGCTGCATTTCCGATGGAGGCGTAAATGTTATAGGCCTGTGTGCTCAAATCTGGGTGCACGTTAAAGAACCCCAGGTGGTCGAAATTGCTGGAGCCCTCCACTACACCGTCTCTCCACTACACCGTCTCTCATAATCATATGGTGGTTTTGGGACGTTAAACCCACATATCAATCGAATCAATCAAGGTAAATGACACATCCAATCATGATAATCACGACATGCATGTCATGTAACAACATGACTACATGCCACATTGATGATGTTCTCGTGACCGTATCGTTAGCTTCACATATGCCAAATTTGGTATTGCGTGACGCCAAAGGATGACGACGGTATGTGACTGCTGCAAACATGATAATCTTAAAATGCATGTCATGTGAGAACATGACTACATACCACAGTCAAGGCGCCAATACATTTCGACATGACGCGATGTGCGTGCTCGCTGACGTTCATTCGTCGCGTCACGCCGACGTTGCCACGCCTGGCGCCAGTTCTGCTATGTACTCGCAGGCGCGCGCGCGCTACGTTGCTTCGATGCATGCGTGTTTCAGCGCGTCCACCATACCTCCGTCACGAAAAGAGGGAGATGCAGTGTTGTT